TAGCAATTATTTATTCCCTCCCCATAATATCTACTATAGTTTTAATAACCAGTAAACTTAGAACTGTCTTAAATTGTCAAATCATGCTGTTCACTCCAAAGTCCTATTGACTACTAATGTATGGAATGATGAACACAAAATCTTATGATGTCATGAGAAATTTCCAGCTACAAATAGAAGTGGGGAAAACTTTACCCAATGTTTTTCAACCTTGGCAACTTTAAGACATCCTATCATGGGATCATACATGAAACTTCCTAATGTACTGAGATTCATAAATAATAAATAACATGGAATATAGTATTCCAACTGAATATTATTGATTTATGAATAAATAATATGAAAGTTATTGCAGGTATTCCTCGACTTACAACCATTTGTTTAGTGACTGTTCGAAGTTACAACAGCACTGAAAAAGTGACTTATGACCATTTTTCACATGACTGTTGCAGCATCCCCGTGGTCACGTGATCAAAATTTGGACACTTGGCAGCTGGCATGTATTTAGGACGGCTGCATTGTTCTGGGGAACTGACAAGCAAAGTCAATGGGGAAGCCAGAAGGAAAACAATGTCTAGGATGGACAAATCTGCTAGTTTGGGTTTTATTTGAAGCAAAAACAAATGTTTGCAAAATGTGCTATTTAGAAGCAGAAACATTTTATAACATGTAGACAAATAAGTTGCAAAAAGTATTCCCTCTAAGCTTTTTACTCTTCTTTTAAAGTATAAAGCTTTAGGGCTTTCAGCCAGATTATATATCTATTTCGTCTTCAACAATTTATTCCACTTTGTTGATTTCAAATATATATCTGCAAGCTGATATAAAATAATTTGCCTTACAATCACAGAAATATTGTGAACCGAATTTAATTGATTAGCAATTTGCTAATCTACTTTTTGCCTTCAAATTTTGCTGAATTTGGAAAAATCAAAATAATTTGGAATGGCACCATCATGCAATGAAAATATGAAAATATCATGCCTCCTAAGGCTGAAAGGGCAGTTGTAATGTATGGAATAAATATGACTTTCTAAATTTCATTTATGATTAAATGGTTTATGAAAGATAGAATTTGAGTTTCTCTGCTAAAGGTTGCATGCATTTCAACATTTTCCTAGCACATTAGAGAGATCAGAATAGAATTAGTGTATTCCCTGGGTAAAAGGTTGTTCATAAACAGGAGGGATTAGAGCAGCCACGTATTTTTATGTCAAGTAAACTAAAGAACAAGGAGTCAACTGACAATATAATATAAACAATTCAAAAAGGCAAGGAAAGGGGAACCAAATGTATGTGACGAAGTTCAGTGTGGTTTCTGCTGAGATAACTGCCTGTCAGCAGACCTGTGAGAAGTGATTGATATTTCACTTATTTGCAGCATATACTCTGGTTTTTCTTCAGATCATATAAATCTTTCACCTTTCTTTCCTTAATGTGTTGAAAACTTCACATGATTATGTTCCAAGAGTGCTAATGACCAGATGACTGCAAGGAATATAAATCCTTCCATTCCCTGCCACCTTTCAGTCTGAATAGCTTCTTGGATGAGAAGCAAAATGGTCTTCAAGGGAAAAAAAACCAAGAAAATCCAGTTGCCTTTTGAAAAAGCACCTTTGTGACAACCATGGCCTGGATGACTGAGAATCTCCATAGACAGACCAGAAGGAAATAGTTCTGTCCTACTTAGTGCTTCATACATACACAATGTATTTCTGGCATAATTTCACAGGCTGTCAACTGCTGGAACATAGCCAGGTGGTAATAAATTACTCCATAGACCAAACCGATGAGAACCAGCTGCTATCATAAATATATGGATGTCTGTATGACCATTCCGTCCAAAGAAATGGGTCCTGTAAATAGAGGCCTTTGTCTGAGTCTAAATTAAATGTAGATTTGGGCAGATAAACTACAGGTAGTCCTTGACTTACCACAGTTCGTTTAGTGACTGTTCAAAGTAACAGCAGCACTAAAAAGTGATTATGACCGTTTTTCACACTTATGACCAATGTAGCATCTCCATGGCCATGCCACGAAAATTCAAATGCTTGGCAACTGACTCATACTTATGACATTTGCATATGTATACAATTATTCTCCTTTATTCCTTTATCCACTATAATGAAATCAGAACGTGCACTTATCATTCTCTATGTACAAGATGGACAGACCCTTTAAAGATCTGAATGAATTGAAAATTCAGTTCTATTCCCGTGAAACATAAAGCTAATATAATTTTTACTTTGAATATCTTCAAATGTACTATTAAAGATTTGAAATCTTGGCCTATCTGGAATTACTCTGTGTTACTTGTTGGCAGCTCTAACAAGTAAATACCTTCCCCTCTTTTACTATCCAAGATCTCCTTTAACTAGAAACTATCAGAGGTTAAGTCTGGAATCTTTTCTATGGAAAGCAAGTGCTTTAACATTTTAGCTGAAAATTATATGAAAAATGCTACAGCTAGGAACTTTATACTTTCAGGATATATTTCACTTGAAATTCTGAATTTTTCCCTCAAATATTAAATCTCTCTGATTCAGTGATTCTTCTTCAGTTTTGTTTCAACACTTTCATATAACATATAAACACAGTTAGCAAGGAGTAAACCCTTATTTTAACAATTACAGTATGCTCTGTTAGAATATCATTTTTTTTTCAAAAGGAAGCCATGTCAGAGTCTTCCAAGCCTTTTTATATTATGCAATAATGGTCGGAAATAACTGAATTATTCACCTGTAGAACACTATATTATTTTCTATACATTAATAAAATATTTAAAAAAAATGCCTGCAGATACTGCAGTCAGCAGACGTACTAGTCTTTAATTTACAAGCATGACACTGTTTTAATCTGTTTGGCTAGGTATCTAAGACAGGGACAACTGCTATAAACTGACCGTTTATTTTTCGAGTAAGAATCTGAAGTAGCCTTAAAGGGCTTCTTGAATTATTTATGACGATCCCACATTTTTAGGATACAGTTTGAAGGGGTAAGGAATTTAAAGAAAAACAATAATATTATATGTGATTTTATTGCTACCGTTCATGTTCTAGATCAGATCTAGAAACAAGAAAGAAATGATTTACTACTGAAATTTCCATTCTGGTAACTGCCCATAATAACAATAACACACTGAGTGAAAAGGATGAATATAGCCATTTTTAAGAAACTGTAATATTAAAATGAAAAGGATAAAGTAAGTATTGTATGTTCTTACAACGGGTTTCCAACATATTCAAATTAAAATACCTTAAAAAGAAAAGCACCCATTATGTGTAAAAAATGTACTACCTTACCTGAAATGGTAATGTAGCATTACTAACATTCCTTTAGGCTTCTGCTACTCTTACATAATTTATTTGGGCTAAAAGTAGACAATTGTATTTCTTTGTCTGTATTGCACATCTAGTAATGAACTACTATCTTATGGATACCTGTGTAAGACTGAACATAAATACAGGAAAATTGAAATGTATTATCTTTCTGACTGCCCAATGCTGGAAGCAAAAATTATTCAATAGTAATTATATATATAGTAGCCATGACCACTGCAATAAACTATTAAATCAAAAGGAGTTCTTTAGTTATGGACTGTTGCTTATAGCACAACCAAGTGTAGATGTGGGTCTCACCCACTGCAGCTACAGAAATAAAAAAGAAGTTTGTCCCTTATTTATTTGTGTAGGCAACAGAACCAGAAAATGTCCTAAACCATTTTAAACGCTAATGTTCAGAATGATTTTTGTCTATTCTACAAGGCAGTTTTAATTCTGTGACCTCAGGCAATTTTATACCCAATGCACCATATTTACAGCAAGATAAAAGACAAGGAATTTTCACAGAGAACATTGGAAGATGAAACTATAAAAGAATTTCAAAGCAGAATAAGTATAACAAACTCTTTGCATAAGTACTTGAAAGTCCCTCTCAAGGAGATCAACAGACCTTTTAAACATTTCCTATACAAGATTAATAATAATCCCAGCGGTTTTATGGAACTGTCATAAAATTCCCAATGTTTGTTTGTGCAATGACAAAGGAAATAATAATTAGCAATAAAACTGTCAGCCCAAAATAATATTGCAAGTAATTACTGTACATAATTACAACCTTCCATATCCTAATGCCTTCTAAAAATATTGGGATGACAATTCCAAGAATCCCTACCAACTGGCTTTTGGCTAGGAATTCTGGGATTTCATGACCAATATATCTGGAGGGCATTAGACTGTAGTAGAAACTCCAGCAAAGCTCAAGCAAAGTGTATAAATATTGCTAAAAGACATAATGGAAGAAAATAAAAGCAGTCATTTTAGTTTTATTTAAGACAGGGGTGGGAAACTATGGCCCTTTTATGACAGGTGGACTTCAACTCCCAGAATTCCTGAGACAGCCATAAAGGGGCCATAGTTTCCCCATCTCTGGTACCTTTTTAACTTGAAAAGGTGAAATCTTATATAACCTATAGAAAATTTATGTAGCTCAGGATTGAATGGTGAAGTCCTTGGTTCTGTCTAGGCTTGTAGACAATTCATTACACTAGATAACGTAAGTGGGAGTGAGTGGGGGGTTGCTCTCCAGTTGTTACCTGGTTGTTATCTTGTTCGGTAATGTAAGGGTCTGCAAGCAAAAAACGGAGCTCAGAGATAATCAAGATTTCCTCATATATAACCCCCCCATCAATAGTAATAAGACCCCCCCCAAAAAAAGAGCTGTCAGTGTTTCTCAACCTTGACCATTTTAAGGCATGTGGACTTCAACTCCCAGAATTCCACAGCCAGCATAGCTGGCTGTGGAATTCTGGGAGTTGAAGTCCACATGCCTTAAAATGGTCAAGGTTGAGAAACACTGAGCTAGATCAACACAGGATATGGAGAGTGCAATTCGACACGAGTCTACTCATGAGTAGTCCCCCTGAATCCAGGAGGCTTGCCTTCCTGATAAAGAAAGGCTGCGTGCCTCTTTTCCCTGAGGGGGGAGGCCGCTGCTCTTACCAGTGATCCCTCCGCTGCCTCCATCGCCTCCGTGCCCCTTCCTCTTCTGCAAGATGAAGTAAGGGTTGGCCCGCTCCGTGATCCACAAGGCATTGGCCAGCAGCACCTCCTCCGGGTTCACCCACATCCTCCCGGCCGAGACAAAGGCAGCCCGGGGGGGGCTTCTTTTCGGCGGACGCTCTTCAAGAACGCAGCCTCCGTTCGCCCTCAGCGCCCGGCCCGGTCCGGAGGGGCGCCGCCAGCAGCTCGACGGGGCCACGGACCATGGGTCAGGGGGAAGGCAAGAAAGAGGCGCGGCATGCCCGCTGAGCCTCCCGCGTCCTCGGCCAGAGGTAGGAGCAATTATCAGGCTCGGTGTGGACGCGGGAACGAGCCGAGAGCGGTGACCTCAGAGCGAACGACGCGGCGGCTGAGCCCGCCCAGCCTCACTCCTGCCGGGCGGTAACGCCATCTCCCATCCAGCCCATTGCATTAGAGCCCCGGGAAGGATGCGGTTGCAGAAGGAGGACCGCATCCGACCAAAACCCAGACGAGGGAAGCGAGTGACGGCACGGAATTGCCTTCTGCGCAAAGAAAGCTCGGAAAAACCCGCCTTCCTTGTATAAGTCCCCGCCGTTTACGCGGAGGAGGCCAGGTCAGGTGTATCAATGAAGGCTAGAGAGCTGCCTGGCTCAGATCGGCCGCCCTTCCTCCACCTATCAGTGACCTATAGACCTTTTAGTCCCCGCCGTTTACGCGGAGGAGGCCAGGTCAGGTGTATCAATGAAGGCTAGAGAGCTGCCTGGCTCAGATCGGCCGCCCTTCCTCCACCTATCAGTGACCTATAGACCTTTTAGTCCCCGCCGTTTACGCGGAGGAGGCCAGGTCAGGTGTATCAACGGAGGCTAGAGAGCTGCCTGGCTCAGATCGGCCGCCCTTCCTCCACCTATCAGTGCGCCAGCGCCTTTCGGAGCTCGCAGCTGGCAAAGCCCGCAGTGCCTCCGCACGGGTTACACCCCGGATTTCGGATTGTCACGTCCTATCGCCCCTACATCTACCGGGCTGAAAACTCGGACGACAAACCTATCCGGGCTGGCCACGAAATGCCCGCTCCCCGAAATGGGACGCTGCCACTGTCCGACAAAGGACGTCGTGGAGACGGCCGGCTACCCTCGTTCAAGCGCACTCAAGGCCAAAAGAGGTTCAGCATCCTCCGCTGGGTTGCTAACGTCGCGATAGCTTAGATCGCCCAGCCCTGCCCAGTCAGGATGGCACCGACGGGAAACACCCCGGACCGCTCCGCTCGGCCGCGGATCTCCATCGCCCGCCCGAGCCTATCGCCTCCGGAGGGCCGACGCGCCGGGTTCCAAGGAGGCGTGGCCTCCGCTGGAACAACCTGCGCAGCGCGCGGTGGTTGGCTTGGCGCTTCCTGCAATCCCAAGAGCTGGTCACGCGGTCTCTGCATCCCTCGCTTGGCTTCGAAGCCCGCAAAGCTCCACCCAAGCGGCTGGAGCCGGCTTAAGGGCCCCGGCGGGAGCTTGTCGTTTCGTGAACGGTAATGCGGAAGAAGAGACACGTTTTCCCCTCTTCTGCCCACAGAAGGTGCTGGCGAGACAGAAGTAATGGCCAATTTCTGTTTCTAAGCGGACTGCGTTGCCAGTCAGTCGTTCTATCCGCCCGGTTGATTTATTGAAGACATTTCTGTCCCTCAAAGCAGGTGTTGGCAAGGGATAAAACTATAAGCACACAAAACCTTCGTCATCAATAAATACAGTTAATCAGCATTATTAGATTGGACGAGAAAAATTAGACCACCCTCTAGTCTAGAGTCTAGGTAGAAGCAGAGGTATGAAGCCCAAGTTCTTTACTGCCATCTGGTGGAGGTCTGAATCGTTGCCGTTCAGATCTTATAACCCAGTGGTTCTCAACCTTTTTAATGCCGCGACCCCAACCGGTCGTAAGTCGAGGACTAAACCGGTCATAAGTCGAGGACTACCCAACCGGTCGTAAGTCGAGGACTTTCCCTGCCCGGGAGTGCCGTGCATGCATGGTTCTGCCCCCTGCGTCGGCCAAGGCGTAGCTGGCAAGCGGCAGAGACGGAGCAGGCCGACCACCAGCTGGCCCAGCCCAAGGCACCCGCCGGAAAAGGGGGAAAAAATGGCGGACAAAAAAAATGGACAAAAAAAAAAATGGCGGACAGCCTTGCTTGGCGACCCCCGTGAAATGGTCGATGGACCCCAAATGGGGTCCCGACCCACAGGTTGAGAACCACTGTTATAACCCAAGATAACAGTACAGTAGTTTTTACTAGGTATGGAAATAGTAATTTGTGGTCCTGTGCCTTACAGTTTGTTGATATTCCTGCATAATAGTTCCTATGTTTGAGAAGATGATTTTTCACTCTTGTAGTGTTTTGTGCAATAATATTATTTTTTAAGCTAGGGAGCTACCATTATAGCAATCCTAGAAGATGTTTATTTGGCTACTTTTTTTGTTATGGGAAGCTATATCTCTAGGTAAATCATTCTAAAAGAGATACCCTTGAGATTAAGGCTCCAGCTTTATGGTTCTTTTGTGAGTGTTTTCAGGTTGACTGACTTATCATATTGGGTGATATGTTAGCCTTCCCTCAAATACATTAGGTAAATGTCCATAGTTTGTTTTGCAGGCTGTGAATGAGTTAGTACAAAGGTGGTTCTTTATATATCTGTGAAATATATTTACATTAAATTTATGGCCATGCAAAATTGATTATACATCCAATATAGTATTACCAGACAGGTAAATACAAAAACAAATAAGAATTGGAAACATCAGAATAACATAAGATTGTGGGAGGCTTATGTTTGTTTGATTTTGAGGACAGAAAAGAAAACATAGAAGACCTAATAATAAGCATACTATTTAAACCCGGCAGAAGGGGGAATTTAGAAGCTTAAGAGCTTTGTGGAAAATGCCTTCCCTCTCTGTTTATGGCTGTCATATTTGTTATTATTATTTTGCTTCTAGATTGGTGCACCTCATCTTAAAAATATTTAGTTTTGGAGAAAGAGCTTAACCTAAGCAATATCAAAGTAGATAAGACTTTGTAGTACACACTCTAGCATTGCAAACTCCTTTGAACTTTTGGTCTGTGGTGGCTTGTTTTTCAGGTAGCTAAAGGGCTACAAAAAGATTCAAGAAATTAAACGAATAACACAGAAATGTACTTGTAAGTCAATTCAGAATTTCTGCCACTATAGATTTCCAAGAATATTACATTACAGGTAGTCCTAAGGTAACAATCACTCCTTCAGGGATCATTCAAAGTTACAATGGCGCCGAATGGTTATGACTGGTCCTCAAAGTTTTAGCTGCCCCAGCCTCCCTGCAGTCATGCGCTCATGATCTGGACACTTGGCAACTGTCTGTCAGCCTTTCCAGTTAAACCAGACAGGAAACACAAGCTAAATCTACTCTATTGTAAGGCTACATTAACAGAATCTTGCAAGTCTGAAAGTACAAAACTTCCTACCACCATTTTTAACTGCTTGATCCATTAGGGTCGGTCCTTTCTAAGATTCTTTTTCTGATTTTAAGTTTCTGGGGGCTCTTGTTGCTCTTGTCTGTTTCCGAGGCAGCATGTCTTCCCCTCTTTCCCCAAAGTCATCCCTCCATTCCATTTCACTGGCTCACACATGGTTGCAGTGTCCTGTGGTCACATGATCACCATTTGAGGCCCTCCCTTCTGTCCTCCCACAAGCAAAGCTGTTGGCAGAAAAGCCACTAGTTCCTCTTGTAAGTTACTTCCATTCCCACTATTTTTCTTCCCCATGACTCTGGGTATGAAGTATGAGATCCTGGGGATGTCATGTGTAGCCAAGCTTGCATGGTGGTACAACAGCCACCTGAACACCCTCCCAGTTACCCCCAGCCTGGTTGCCTTATGTGGCACCTTGGCGATCATTGACACCCTCTTGCCTCCAGCAGCATCCACACCCGGTTGTGTTCACATTGGTTGCAACAATTACTTGCATATCCTATGCTCAGCCATGCTTGTGCTGTAGATACCACTTACCCATTCTCTGGCCTGGTTATAAGATTCCCAGGATTCGCAAGTTCCTGTCAGCTTCCCCATTCACTTTGCTTGTGGCAAAAAGTCACAAAGAGGTCCTTGCTTAATGACTCACATCCTCACTTAACAACAGCAACTAGGAAATGCCGGGATTGCCATTATTAAGTGAAACAGTTGTGATGTTGCCATTATCACTGCATTGCTTAGTGATGGAAATTCCAGTTCAAATTATTATAGCTAACCAAAGACTACCTGTAATAGTAAGTGGGTAGTCTGCACAAAGTTTGCAACCCCAATGATTTTTGATATAGCTGATGAGGTACTCGCCTTCTTCTGCATACACAGCTAGCCTAGTAATGAATAGATCGTGATCTTTTGCTGCTAGTATGAACAGAGGAATAGTAAACTTGAATGACTTCAATGGAATTGTAAAAATTATAGGACATGATGCTCTTCCTGTGACTGTGCTCAGGAAGAGTTAGTTGATCCAGGAAAGAGTGTAACTATTACACAACCCACAGTTACTCAAAGGTCCTGGCCACAACTGCCATCTGTTCCTTAATATTTATCAACAAATGCCTATGAAACAAATTCCCTATTCTGTCAAAATAATATTGAATTGTTATGTACTTTAAAAAAATCAACTAAAATATTTAGTATTCAGCTTAGCATTAAACTCCAGTAGCTTACATGTAGACACACTATGTTACAATATAAACTTCAGAATTAAAAACAATCATTGATGTCAAAAAGATGACATTAAAGCTTTTAAAATTCTAACTGCATTTAACTGCTGCATTTAAACGTGATCAACACCAATTTTCCCCATCATGTTGTGTTCTTCCTAAAGCATATGGAATTGTTTGCAATTGCTTATGCCCAGAATTTTGTTAATTCATGATATGAATCTTTATAAGATAGATTAGCTTGAGTTAAATTTTTCTTATTCTGTCATGGTCCTGGAATGGTTTCAGTCTTCCAATAATTCTGAGTATTAGGATGTTCTACATACATGAAAGAAAGGTTAATCTACTACAAAGTGCACGAAGACCCCCAGCAACTCAAAAGAGGAATATATACATTTAAGGCTGCCA